TAGTGTATCAGGGTTCTGGACAATACGCCATAATTGCTTCCCAATGAGGGCTAGATTGAAACTCTGAAGGATTTTAAAGCCCATTCTCCCAGCTTCTTTGGTTTGCAGAGTTCTCTCCAATTAAGCCAATGTGTCTTCCCCTCCTCCTCCTGTTTCCCCCACCATAAATGAGCTACTGCTCGTTTTGCTTCCTTCAGGATGCTGGGAGGTACTTGAAAAACTGACATGGCATATGTCACATGTGCCTGTGCCACAACCTTAATCAATACTTCTTTCCCTGCTACAGATAGTAGCTTTCCTTTCCACGTTTTCACTTTTGCTCTAACTCGATCAACTAAGTAGCTAAAAGCCTGCTTCTTTGATCGGCCAATGATTGTAGGAAGGCCTAGATATTTTTTATGGTAGTCCACCGCCTTCATGTTTAGTAAGTCTGCGAGCCCTTTCCTTCTCCCCTGCCTGACATTAGGTCTAAAGGATAATTCAGATTTATGGAGATTGACCTGCTGACCAGATTCAGCTTCATATAAGCTTAAGATGGCTTTCACTTTCTCACATTCTGATTTAGTTGCCCTCAGAAAAAGGATGTTGTCATCAGCAAATAAAAGGTGAGAAATCTGTGGTGCTTGCCTCTTCACCCTTATCCCTTGAATCTGCCTTTCCCTTTCTGCTTTAGTTATTAGGGCTGATAGCCCTTCAACCACAAACAGAAAAAGATAGGGGATATTGGATCACCCTGTCTTACTCCCCTACTAGTATAGAAACACTCTATCTGGTGCCCATTCACCAAAGTAGAGAAAGAAACAGTCGTCACACAGGTCATGATCATTTGAACCCATATTTTATGAAAACCCAATTTCAACATGATTCCCTCCAAAAAATCTTATTCAACCCTGTCATAGGCTTTAGTGATATCCAACTTAGCCACCATGAATCCTTTGTTACCAGACTTGTTATTCTTCATAGAGTGAAAACACTCAAAGGCTATTATGACATTATTAGTAATGAGCCTCCCTGGGACAAACGCACTCTGGTCTGGCACTATAACCTGGTTTAGCACCCCTTTGAGCCTATTAGCAAGAACCTTGGATATAATTTTGTATAGAGCTTTGCAGAGGCTAATAGGACGAAAGTTTCGGGGTGTTTCTTCTTAGGAATGAGTGCTATCAGGGTATGGTTCAGTTCCTATGGGAAACTTTCCTCTTCCAGATAACCCTGTAACTCAGTAGTGATTACCTCTCCCAATATATCCCAATTCTTCTGAAAAAAGAGGGCAGACATACCATCAGCTTCAGGAGTTTTTACCGGTCCCATAACCTTTAATGCCTCACAAATTTCCTCCCTTGTAAAAGGTTTTAGAAGCGCGTCATTTATAGAAGTTGTAACCTTTTGTGGGACTGCGTCTATCACAGAACTGGATTCAGATCTCCTGTCAGAAGTATATAACTTCTTATAGAAGTTAACAATACATCTCGCTATATCCTCCTGATCTGTACAGATCCTTCCATCATCATCCTTTAAATTTTTTATCATGTTTTTGATTCTCCTGTCTAAAGCTCTTCGATGAAAAAACTTAGTGTTTTTGTCTCCGTGCTTGAGCCAGTCATTTCTGGATCTTTGCTTCCAGATCAACTCTTCTTGAAGCAAAATCTCTTCAAGTTCATTCTCCATCACCCGTTGTTGTGCCAGTATTGCCTCATTTTTTCTCATCTTGTCAATCTTTTCCAGTGCTTTCTCAGTTTTAACTCTTCGGGCTCTCAGGCTACCAAAAGTCTGTTTGCTCAAGTTTCACAGTTTTTTCTCATCTTGTCAATCTTTTCCAGTGCTTTGTCCCGCCGCCTCCCATCCATCTTAATGACCGCTTATAGTCCTCATGACCTTCCAGTAAGCCTCAAATTTAAAATAGTGACCCCACTTCACATCCTCCACTAACACATTCGTTTTCAGTAGGATAGGGTTGCGGTCTGAACCACAGTGTCTAAGATGATAAATCCCAGCATCAAGGTATAATCTCCTCCATGACTGTATTGCCACCATCCTATCCAATCTCTCCTCCAAGAACGTCTCATCTTTGTGATTGTTGTCCCATGTGTAAGGTTTACCATAGAAACCAAGATCCTGTAGTTGGTAATCCTCAAGAGCTTTGTTGAAGCCATTCATCTCATAGCCATTTGCTAATTGTTTACCTCTCTTCTCTGCATAGTGTTGGATGAGATTAAAATCTCCACAACACAACCAAGGCACATCAGTCAGAGCCTTTAGATACCTTAGTAATTCCCAAGTCTGATGTTTCTTCCCCTGTTCAGACCAACCATATACTCCAGTAAAACGCCAGATCTTGTCATCTTCCACTATTTTCATATCAATATAATTCGTATCACTTCCTTTCACTTCCACCTGAATTTCCTCTTGCCACAAGACAAGGAGGCCACCCGCTCTGCGCATTGATCCCACCCCATAGCCTTTGTATCCTTGAAATTTAGTCACCACATCTTGCCATTCATCTTCCTTTTTCTTAGTCTCCATCAGGAAGACCACTTTGGGATTTTCCCTTTGGATCAATCGATCCAAATTTTTAATTGCCAGGGGACTCCCACTCCGGAAATTATAGCTCAAACAACTCATTGAGCTGGGCGGGCCTGCTCTGTTGCAGGCTCCGCCATATCGCCATCCATAGTTTTGTTATTGTTATCTCCAGTTCCTAATCCTTCCAGACCAGCAAAGGTTAGAGTTCTGGCCTTCTTCACAACTTCAGTTGTGTGTCCCTCTACCCTCTCCCCCTCTTCTCGAGCTTCAGCCTGTCTTTTTTGAGGGGTTATTTGGACCCCATCATCTTATTTCGGTTTCACTTGCTCCTGTCTTCTCCAGACTCGGGCATTATTCCTCCCAGTCCTCCTTTCTTCTGTACTGCCCATCACAAATTTTCGTAGAGCCCCATTATGCATTTGATCCCTTGATTCTGGATTTTTGGGAAGCCTGTAGCTCTTTCTGTTGTGATACAATAGGTTATTGTGCCTGTTAAGTTCTGGGAGCCTCCTGAGTTTGTATCTCCCCGCTATTCTTTTGTTGTTCTGGTGTATCCTCTTCCATTTGTTTAGCTTCTTCCATCTCTAATGCCATATTATGGTCAGAGTTGGACCCTATGCTTTCCATTTCAAATTTTTGTTTAAGAGCAGCCCACACCTCAACATCCTCCTTCTTTGCAGTATATAAGAGCCAGTTTTTCTGACCCTGAGCTGCCACTCTCAGTGTATACCCAAATGGGTCTTTTTCAGGCTTTGCCTCAAGTTTGCACCTCAGTTTAGGGTGCCCAATTCACACACAAGAGTAGCAGAACATTGGTAGCTTTTCGTACTTTATTGGATATTCAACCAACTGACCCGAGATATTCAATTTGATTTTCTTTTTCAGGGGGTTGTTGAACGAAAGGTACACTCTCAAGCGCATGTAATCATCCCACATTGTTCCCACACCATTATCAAACCAGTCAAGCCCCTCAAAGCGCGCTGCAATTTTCTCAGCCATCTTCTGGGTCCTCAATTCAGCTGGTAAACCCTCAACCCTTATCCACAGATCAATCATATGTAGGTCTTCTGGTTTAGGCTTTTGAATCGTTGTGCTTGCCTTAAACACTATAAGTGAATTCTCATAATGCCAAGGGCCCCCATAACATACCTTATTCCTATCATCCATGTCCAGAAATTGAAAGGCAAACAGCATGTCCCCAAGTTCCGTGATCTGGAAACCCTTTTTCAGCTTCCAGGCTTTTGACAATGCAATTTTCATTGACTTCATGTTAGGTTCTTTTTCAGCTAACAGACGTCCGATCAGCCCCAACCTACGCACTGCTTCCATGCGCAGCACATCAGCATCAGAGTCCTCTACCTCCAATGGTTCATCATCTTCATCCTCCAGAGTTATCTGATTTAACTGATTTTCTAGCTCCATGGTTGTCTGTCGTTCCTTACTCGTGGCAGTGTCTTCGATAGCTTCTTTTCTGGCCTCCATACTGTAACAAATCAATCTCGTCGCCTCTGAAACAGGACAACACTTTATGTTCTGCTTCCTTGTACAAAAACCTAAGGGTTTCTTGCACTAGGGTTTTTCTCTCGCACAAACTATTGCTCTTCACACAAAGCGGTCAATAGAGTGCAAAGTCTTCTCTCTTTAAATAGAGGATGCTCACTACACTTGTATCGCAAAACTGATTAAGAATGGAAACAAAATTCTTTTTCAACGAGGGAAGTAGACACCGATAAAACCCTAGGGTTTCCGCCGCCTCAGACTCTCGCTAAACGAGAGAGCTTCATTCTCTGTGTAGCGGGTACTTATTTCATAATTTATAATACTTAAAATTCTAAATTAGAGCACCAATAAAACCAAGATCGACAAAAAAAAAAACAAGATCGCTAATTAAATTCACGACATCACGACCAACAAAAAAGAAAAGACACTAATCTGTGCGCAAAAGAATACAAACAACAACAACATGTAACCACAATCTATATAATACGAGGTCTAAAATCTCAATTTAGAAATACTATGACTCATGTTTCAAACGTAACGAATGTGCTAATAGTAGAACAAGTACCACTTTATACACCCAAAAACAAATAGAACAAGTACCAAATAAAATGTCCCGCCCAACGGGCGGGCAAAAAACTAATTAAGTGTTATGAACTTTGTATCTATCTTATTAGTAATGCAAGAGTTAAGAACATATGAAAGTTACAAAATTTTGAACCACTTTTGCTAGATTTAGATTGCCATAAAAACGGATTTTTTATTTTATTCCAACGATTTACTATCCTAATATATATTTAACCATATAATAATTCTACCAAAAGAGAAAAAGCCTTTCATATTGATAAGATAAAAAACTAAGAAATCATATATTTTTTTAATAAATTCAACCTTATCCTTTCCAAGAATCAATGTTTCTCTCACTTACAACTTCTTATAAACATCTGAATGTTACTGTCCAAAACCAATCTCAACTTAAGAAACACGATACAATTGCTTTGCTCAAAGAAGAATACATTACTCCTACAAAAAAAAAAACACTAATCAACCATGAAAGGCTCATCGTCTAGAATTCTCGTTCTTCCTCTACTAGTACTCCTTCTCATTGCTGGTAATTTTTCACTATTTCAGTCTAGCATAATTATTCACTTTATTTATCATTTTATCGTTGATAAATGAATTGTATTGGTTCGCCAAAATTTTACTTTCAGGTGCATTTCTATTTTCTAGTTATTGGTTCATGAAATTGGCAAATGAAATTTTACACGACCCTTAAAAACCTAAGATTCCCCGTTTATATAATAAGGATATGAATCATCCACCGAATTTAAATTTATAAGTTGTATTACCACGAGTCGTAGCATACACAAATAGCTCATGTAATGCTACATGAATTTAGATTTTAATTTCCTTGTTACACTAACACTAATAGGTTTTTTTATCGATAGTCAATTAGAGATGGATAATTAACGAGTTGATAATCTTTTTTGTTTTGTTTTTGCAATAATTATAATATACAGTTCAGAAGGAGGTGATGGGAGAGCAGACAAATAAAAAAGTGTGCAAGGTCGGGCTTATCCCTCCTGCTAAACAAGGAACTTTGGGGTGTGAAGCTTTAAACTGTGACTCTCTATGTAAAGAGACTTATGGACAACCAACCATCGGATTGTGTTATTTTATTGTCTATTGTGCATGTTACAAGCCTTGTTAAAAAATTTCACTATTGAAATCATGATGTGATGATCAGTGATATAAGGCCATTATGTTTTTTTTATAATTAATAATATTTGATTTATGAGTTCTGTTATAAACAAAATCAATCAATTTGATATACTCTCATAATTTTTCCTTTTGGTTTCTAGTGTTACAATTACAAAGTCGTTGTCTGCAGCTTCCTTACAATTTCTATGGTAAGTATGTGAAACTCCTATGAAATGTCCACACAATTGCTGTCCACAAACTTTAAGTCTTCGACCGATTATATTTCTCCCCATGAAGATACTTGACCTCAGAAATCGACTTTTTCCCCATGTTAATTACGAAGCTGTTTCTTCGAAAAGGCATCCATCCACGATTACATGCCTACTATTTCAACCAAAACTAAATTTCTTTCTTTTCGTTGAATACCAAAAACTAAATTTCTAAGTGAATTGAGTAAAATTATTTATAATTTTGATAAGTAGGGTAAACATGAGAAGAATTATGATCGATCGGGTGAAGAAGAATACTTGTATCAATCTCATCCTTACATACTAGCTTGGACTAAACTTTGAAGAAGAATACTCATTTTTCTGACATGTTTAGTCACTCAAATTACATAAATCTTTCACGTTTGCCACCCAAATTATTTTTCTTTCTTATTCGCCACTAACTTTACAAAACGTTACACCGTTAGTCACCGGCCGTTAGTCTCCGTCAGATTCCGTTAACTCCGTTAGTTTTTTTTTTATGTCGTGACAAACATAAATGCTGACTGTACGTTAACTTATGACATGTTCATTTAAAAAAAAACTAAACATTTTAAAAAAATTAATTAGACAAAACTTAGGCGAGTGACCAATGGATACGTCTGTCGCCTCCTCGCCGGAGCTTGATGTCTAAGATACATTCGAGCACAATCCTCCGTAACTTTCTCTTGTTTCCAGTTGAAACTCCGGTTCCTGACAGAATATTAAAATTTGTTTATGTTTCTCGTCCAGTCGATCGAGTTGCTTGCTCCGTCAATGGCAGATTCACTCAGATTTCTATGGTTTTCGATTGAACCAATCTCGTCGAATTTGACGAGCATTGAGCTAGTGTGTTCGATTTTGGACCGGAATTGCTGATTTTTAATGGAGTAAGTGAGATTGTCATCTGGATTTTTCCTCTCCCGAAGAAATACCGGAGGTGACGAGCTAGATGGAGTCATCAGAGAAAGAAACCGACTTGTCTCAAGACGATACAGGCGCAATGGGGGAGGAGACACACGAGGACGACGACACAGTACTTTCCTACCAGACCTTGGTGAATTTCATGCCCTTCGTCGGCCATCTATTCGTCTCACAGGACGATGCTAACGAGTTTTACAGCTACTTCGTCACCACCGCACCCACGGAAAAGACGGCATCAGCAGGGGAGTAACCACGCGATCTTTCACCTGGCACCGTGGCAGTTATCCTCAAACGAAACACTTAGAGGAGAGTGGCGGTAGCGGAGGTGGAGGGAAAATGCAGCGGAACCACAACCCAGGATTCCTTGTTGCTCTTTTTGTTCCGCCTAAGGATAGGTAAAGGGAAGAAGACGAGGGAGGGGATGGTGGGCCACTCCTCTACTGATTTTGTTTAATTCTTAATTTTTTAAATGGATCTGTCATAAGTTAACGGTACAGTCAGCATTTCTGTTTGTCACGTCATCAAAAAATTAACGAAATTAACGGACTCGGACGGAGACTAACGGCCAGTGACTAACGGTGTAACGTTTTGTAAAGTTAGTGGTGAATAAGAAAGAATAGTAATTCGGGTGGCAAACGTGAAAGATTTATGTAATTTGAGTGACCAAACGTGTAATTTAGCCCTTCCGAAAATTAAGGGAAGGCCAGAAAAATTTGAATACTGAAAATCCTATAAAACTCCACCATTATATATTCTTTTAATTAAACATATATTACCCATTCAAAATAAGTCTAACAAATAATATAAAATGTGCAGAGTCTAAATTATCATCTTTTGGGAGAATTGTCACGCTGCAAGTCAATGATGATAGTGTTTTACCATACCATTTCAGAGCAATGGTTTATGTTTTTCTATTGAAAGGATAGTAATTAATATTAATTCATGAAAGCAACAAATAGAATAAGAAAAAAAATTATTTCAAAAAAATATAAATAATAAAGTTTGCCACCATATAAGCCCAAACTCAACAGCGTCCCCAACCTTAATTCCATCCCATCAGATCCCAAATTTCCTCTCTGCCCAAGATTCACAGTCTAATTGTTTACGCCCAAAATATAATAATATGGGCATTAACTGTCTTTATAAGTCTCCAAGAAGGAGCTAGTCCCGTCGCGAGTTGGGTAGCCCGACTTGGTCGCGAGATCTAGACCGCGTTGGCATCAAAACTAGAGCCCGACGTGGTCGTGAGATCTAGACCGCGTTGGCGTCAAGTTTAGAGCCTAATGTGGTCACGAGATCTAGACCGCGTTGGAATCAAAATTAGAGCCCGACGTGGTCGTGAGATCTAGACCGCGTTGGCGTTAAGTTTAGAGCCCAACGTAATCACGAGATCTAGACCGCGTTGGCATCAAAATTAGAGCCCGACGTGGTTGCGAGATCTAGACCACATCGGTGAGTCCGGACCATGTCCAAGATCTGAACTAACAAGTTGGAAGTAAGAAAGCAAGCCATGTGGGAGAGGCAAGTAACAAGATGACAGTTCCAAGATAAAGAGCAAGCAGTTAACAGAGCAAATGCCGATTATCCCACGTACAATGACACGTCAGCCACGTCCGAGAAAGAAGCGGAGCAGTTCTTTTTGAAAGTTACTCTAAGACAGTTTTCTACGACGATTATCATCTCAAGACTATAAATAGGAGGAGGAGTTGACAGAGGAAGGGGTCGCAAAAATCACCACTTGTCAAGTTTATCAATTTTATCTTTCCTCTGCAATTTTTATTAGTAGTCGTAGATCTGGAGCTCTCTCAGAACCTCCATAGGAGAAGGAATAACTTAATGTAGATCTGTCTCGAGAATCGTGTAAACATCGAACACCCTCGTTCGAACTGTGTTTGAAGAGGTGTGAACCGTGTTTAGTGATTGTTGTCCAAAGAAGTCAAGGTGCATTTAGTTCTCATTCAACGAGCTTCTCACCGAAAAACACTAATTATCGATGGCCCAGACGGTTGCCGGCTGGGCAGCTCGCGACTCCTCCGGCGAGATAGCTCCTTACACTTTCAAACGCCGGTCAGTTTTCCCGAGCCTTACTTTCTCTAGAATTATTTCCTACATATTTCACTAAAAGTTCTGTTTTCTTCCCTAAACTCCTCAGAAGCTCAATTAACTACTTCCATTAGCCTTTCAAATGATTGGTTTTAACAGAAAAAAACAAAAAAAAAACTAACAGTGTATCCTATTGTTCCCGGGTAGGTATATAAAATTATGAAGTATGCAGAGTTAATTATCTTATTGCTAGAAAGCGAATTTGTGCCGGACTATAACAACTATGGTTCATAAGATGGGAATGCGTTGGGATGAATACTAGTTTTTTAGGGCTCAAGATAGGATGCATAATCATCCTTATAAAAAAAAACAAGATATGATGCATAATCATGGGTTATGCACTTATCAATAACTAAATTTGAACTCTTCATTTAGAAAATCCAGATCTAAGGATGGAGAATTAAAGACCATTTTTATTTTTCATAGCTTTTTTAACCGGCTCATACATTTTTTGTTTTAACTCGGATTTTAATTTTTTTTTGCGCAGATGGAACGAGTTCATCGTGCTCTACAAAATGAGATCAATTTTCAATATTTTTTTAGAAAAAAAAATTCTGACCTCTCGGTACCAACTGCATACCATATGGTATTTTCTTCGTTTTTAATTCGTTTGCATAGAAGGGACGAGTTCATCATGATTTATTGGATCTACAAATTTCTGGGTGAACAAATTACAGGACCAAAAAATACCACACAATACCATACAATACCACCCTGGTACGGGGTGGTATCTTGTGATACACAATGTTAAAAGTCGTAAATGACCGTTAATATACTTCTACTGTCATGTATTCAATCATCCTACAGTCTTGGTTTGTTCATACCACCATGGTACGCTTTTCAAACCATATGTATGCTCTTATTTCAATACCAGTCAATACCATATGGTATAGACTAGTAAAAAATGGCTCAATTTTTTTGTTCGAAAAATATATCAAAGTGGATATCGTTTTGAAGAGAACAATTAATCTGATCTAACTGTGCAAAGAAATTAAATTTCGAATTAAAACGAGTGAGATATCGTCCGTCAAAGATTGAGGAGGCGAAAATTAAAAGTTTTCCAGGAGAGAGAGGGATGCTGATGTGGATGGGTTACTCATTGTTACTCACCACAAGGTTACTGACCTGATCCGTTCCCTGTTTTAGTAATCGTCGTGGCTATTTACATCTAAACCGTTCATTAGCTCTATTTTTTCCATTTTTTAAAATGACGGTCAAGATTAAATTAAGGATAGTTTGGGAATTAAAATAATATCACACAAGATTATTACCTATATTTATAACTTACCTTCCCCAACCCTACGTCTACCCTCTCCTCACTCCCACCTCCCCTCCCACCGGCCGCCTCCCCACCTCACCCTCCTCTCCCGCCGGCGCTGCCTCTTCCCTCACCCTCCCTCACTCCCCACACCATCTACTATCCCACGACCCTCCCTTCTCCCTTCTCCTCTCTCTCTCTCTCTCTCTCTCTCTCTCTCTCTCTCTCTCTCTCTCTCTCTCTCTATAACAGCAGGAAAGAGCCGATGGGATCGCGGAGGTCGTCAAAGCAATCGCCAGCGTTGGTCATCCTTTTATCTCCGACCCTCTCGTCTCAATGGTATTATTTTTGTCACATTGGTATTGATTTTGTTGTATTGGTATTATTTTTGTCTCATGGGTATTGATTATCATGTAATGGTATTAATTTGCATGTATTGGTATTGATTAAATCTGCAATGGTATTGATTTTTTGTGAAATGGTATAGATTTATATTGGTAGATTGTTTTTATTGGTAGTTTTCGTGTA